TACCATGGCTACCATTATTAGGAAGTACAGCTTAGAGCAGAAAGGGAAATTGAGAAGAGAGTGTGATACGATCTGGGATGGTCCACAGCTCTACCTGAATGTTTAAAGTTATTAAATGTGAAACTACAGACCTCACTTACAGTGATCATCACACTTCATGTCACCATTTTCCTGCAAACGTAGCAGCTCTGTCTCTAGTTTTAGCCACTTGGAACTAAAACAGCTCTTTCTTTCAGGCTTTTGGGACGAGGCGATTCAATTCCATTCAATTGTATTTGCATTGTGCCAAATCACAACAACAGTCGCCTCAAAGTGTTTTATACTGTAAGATAAAACCCTTCAATAATACAAAGAAAACAGAAATAATCAACTTTGGTGGCTATTAAAGAAATGAGGAAGTTTAAGGCACATTTCAAACCTTGCAAACACCTTTTAGCAGTAGCTGCAAATGACATCCTACCAGGCTCTTACAAAATCAGTAAAAACATTTTAAAAATTATATTTACATAAACTGCCTGGTTCTCCACCCATGTCATGGGCGTAGCTTTCTGTCATAGAGCTGCTGCACATAGGTGCCTGCTCATTAAAGTGTGCCTACTGTCGTTCATAAACTGACCTTTGCTTCTATTTGACGATAACAGGACACTCCATAGACACACTTTGTGTCTCCACTGAGAGGCGGCAGGTGAAAATACACAGTGTCTGCAAACCAACAAAAAAACACAATCACATTATTATACCACATGCTAAAGGGCAGAAAGAAAAGACAGCATGAGAAAAATCACTTGTGTGCAGTTAGATGAGACTGATATGCTTTTTCTTTTCTGTGGTAAACAGCAGCTTCAGCAAAGACCATCGATACAATAAAAACCAGTAAGTTTAGATAAAGAGTGTTTGTGGAAGGCTGCAGTGACTGACGGCAGGTTTTCAAACCAGCTGCCAAACTGGATAAACTTGAAGGCAGAAGCAAACATTTACAAGTTGCTTGATGATAGTTGGAGAAAAGAAAAGAAAAAAAAGCCGTTCTTCATGTTCAGATTAACAGCTCACGAGTCACGAGTAAGAGTTTGTGCAGTTTACACTCTGTTTAAAAATGTTTGCTTTAAGTTTTACTTTGAGTTCATCAGTTGTATTTGTCAGAAGCAACGTTTAAGAAATTCAGAACCGGCTTTACAAGACAGACACCTGCACATAGCCCATCAGCCAATCACATGGCAGCATGAGGACACAGTTGAGACAACCAGCAGAAGTTCAAACTGAACATCGGAAAGAGGAAGAAAGGCGATTCGAGTGGCACTGGATGTGGCATTGTATGCAAAAGAGCATCTCTGATGATGTAAGCACAAAAACAGCAGCAGAAGCTCACAGTGGGTGTGACTCCTGTCAGCTAACAACACGAAACTGAAGCTACAAAAGCTCACAAAAACTCGACCCTAAGAGATTGGAAAAACATGGCTGCATCTGATGGGTCTCAATTTCTGCTCCAAGATTCAGAGAGTCGTATCAGAGGGCACAACAGTCATTTTAATATTTCAATAATCAGTTAACGCCATTCTTGCAAGAGGAAAAAAAGCATATTAGACGTAAATGCTTATTAATTGTGCTGCGTTTTGTGTTGGGGGTTTTTCAAACACAATTTTTGTTGCAGTATTTTGCAGAGTAT